AATGTGGGGAAAAATTATTACTTTTCTTGTATTTTAACATTTATTATTAATTTATTACTAGTTAAAAGTTAGGCAATTCATAACTGAGTACCGGGAACTATTGTTTTTTACAAAAAAAACAACAACAAAACAACAAACAAACAAACACTGAGTAACACAATACAATAAAACCAGTGACGATAGATCTAGTATCTAGGCTAACAAGTGAATCACCCAACAGTTGGTCAGGGTCGAACTAGGTTAATTTTTTAAATGTGCTTTGTGAATCTATTAAGCCAATTGGGATAAAATATAGTCGAGTATATTACACGCGTCTCAGAAATAAGAGACTAGACTGAGCGTTAGGAACAAACTCCAATGCAGCAGCCTACAGTGAAACACAAATTGAATTAAGACATAGCCGCTATTTTATTTTAAACATTGCAGTATTCAAATAGCCTTTCTTCGGAATTGTGGAATTCCCCTTGTTTTACTAGCTGTTTGTATGAGTCGATTGAGTAGACCACTACAATGTGTTACATATAGCAGCCTATATGCCAGAAAAGGTTGAACGTGTAGGTTAATTTGGATCAAAAGTCTGTGGAGAAAAAACTTTAGCCCGGTGAGTGTTTGGGGGAGAAGTGGGAAGATGGCGGGTAATCATAGAACAGTGTCAGTAGGTAAGAGCGAGAAGGCTTGAACACTGACCTGCAACGTCACAACCTGTGGACAGTTTAAACCAATAGCTCGTTACCACTTTACGTACGACTTGGCAACACTCTATTGGTGTAAGCTTCTAAACTGCCCACAGGCAGTCTCGGTCTCGGTAAGATTGCTAACCTCAGGGTCAGATTTAAGGTAGAGTAGGCCCCCTGGGGACTCCAAAAGAAAGAGGCCTCCATAAAAGAGATAAAGAAATATCCGAATTTAGTCGCGGGTCTTTTACGTTTTTTTTTTCCTACAATTTTTTTTTCGCATTCTTACGGCTGGTGAAAATGTGATTTAGAAGTGTACGCTTGTAGCCTGCTAGGAATTAGTAAATAAAGCTTCAGATTTACGACAGTGGGTGTACCAAGGGCCTAACCCCCCCTCAAACTAAAAAAATAAAACACTTTTGCAAACTAAAATGTGTACATAACATTTTTAAAAAAGGAAAATGTTAAATTTACAAGAACTTTATTTCTTTCTTTTAAAATATGCTTTTAGATATAATCATTCATAAGTGGATCTTAATTGAAGCTTTCAAAAATTGTTAGGGTCCTTCACTAAATCCCTACCCCGGGGGCCTTCACATACTTAAATCCGGCACTGGCTAATCTAATCCACTTACTCGAACTTGTTCCACGCTACTATCAAAACAAAATTCTATTATTCATATGCATTATCTTAAGGCTCTTACATGACTAGATCTTGTGTTGTGGATAAGTGACCGCGGGCGGGATGGGGGACTACAACGATTTTGTATAACTTGCTCGCGTACTTTGGTCAGAGAAATGCAACTAGCTGGTTAGCTGGAAATGTGTCACCTTGGTCACGTGGGTGCAATGACTTGTTATGCTGGCGCAATGCACTTTTAGAGTACGGGCCGTCCAACAGCAGTAGGTTGAGAACAGTGTTTGCGTTGTGCAGGGCTAATAAGTCAGGGATGGGACAAACCTGGGGGTGTGGACTGAAAAAGTAGGTCAATCGAAATCATCAAAATACTAGTTTTACGGCAAATAAGTTAATTTGGGGGGGGGGGGGGTGCGATTTATTTTTTCAGGCTTTTTTTTCTATTAAAGTATTTTTTTTTTAATTTTAATTTTCTTACGAACAGCGTAGTTTTAATGACCTGCATTTACAAAAAATTATACTGCCTGGAAGTCGTAAACTTTGAGCCTGTTATTTCAAAGCACTGGTTTTTACTCAGTAGGATGGCCGCTAAGGCAAGGAGACAGGCGTAGTCAATGGCTTCCACTCTGAACTTTTTTTCTTCCAAAAGATTTTAAAAACATTCCTGCACTCTTCAACGAAAATAAAGTAAAATAAATACACTCAGATTAACATGTTCAAGTTTTAGATATGAAACGAATTACCTGCCTATGTTTTGTAAAATGTTTTACATGTTTCGGATGTTCCTTCAGAGTTGAAGATAGTTACTTCCTAGTCCAAACCTCCCGCAGGACGACGGGGGATGGGAGCGGGCAGGGTTTGAACCCGGGACCATCGATAAATCTGAACGACAGTCCAGCGCGCAAACCGCACGACCAGGCAGCCATCCATGCAGGAAGCTTAAGCTTCATTGACCTTATTTCTTATGTAACAGTTTTTTAAAATTTGTTTTCAAATTTGGAGAGAGAGAGAGAGAGACGGGGAGGTGGGTGAGTGTTAAGCTGTCACACTGCATCAAATAATGAATGATGTTTCCGTGTTCAGACTTTAATCTACATATTGGACAATCTTAAATTCATTTCCACTACGCAGCCAAATCCGAATCTGCTAAACAGCTGGGGTAGGCCAACTTCAAAAGTCTGATGAATAGATTTTCTTCTCAGGGTAAATCTTTCCAGTTTCGGGAAACTTTGCCAGAAGCCCCCCATTTTTTTTTCTCAAGATAGTGCGTTCCACAGGTTGAGAATCTGAATCGCATTAGTGTACCAATGAATAAGGTAGAGAAATGGTACATATGTGTTGTGTGTGAATTTCTATACCAAACTAAATCTATTTATAACCCAAACTTTAAATTGGCGTTGGCAGTTCCACTTTAAAATCTCATGTCAGAACACGTAAACTCATTCGGGACTTAAGTTAGATGGTGTAGGCTATTTATAGATCTACAGGTCTAAGAAGATTTTAATCTGAATGACGTCACCATGGTTGTCAACTGCTTCATTTTTGTTTTCAATAGGTTGAATTATGTTGAGGTCCTAATCAACATTGTCACAATAATAATGGTAAGTAGGACTGCTTCAAAACACAAGTAGCCTAACCATTAAAAGACTAAATAAACATAGGCCTGCATCCACACAGCACACCTTATTTACACTAATATAATTAAAAAAATATTTTACCCGAATTTACTTGCGAAAAATTAAAGTAAAAAGGCCACTTTGAAAAATCTGGCATAAAGAATATATAAGAATGATTATAGGCTTATATGATCTGTAGATGGGCCTATATATTGACATTGACCCATGTAGACAGAATAAAGCTATTAGCTAGAACAAAGTTTTGAGATAAAGTCGTAGATCTAATATTAATACCATACCTGTCTCCCTCAAGATAACATGCAGCTCAATCAGTAATCTTTTAGTAGGCCTAATTTAAAGGTTTACTTAGTAGGCTAAATAAGTACTTTAATAATGTTGGATTTTTATAGTGCCTAAGTATATAATTAATTTGTATTATTTATGTGTTCCTAATTACTATGGGGTAATTAATTAGTTTGGGGAAAGTAAAGGGAATTGGTTGTCGTGCTGGCCACATAATATTCTCATTAATCATGGGACACAAAAAAATTTGCCCCATAGAACGCTACGTCTGAATAGCGGTAGATCTTCTTTACTTTTCATAAGGGCCAAGGTAGATGAGTGGTAAATCCATAGACCAGGAAAATCTGGGATTTTTAGGACGTCCCTGAGTCCAACCACTCTAATGAGATATCATTGGGGGAAGTAAAGGCAATTGGTCGTTGTCCTGGCCACAACACCCTTGTTAACATCAGCCATAGATAAGCTTTACATCGTCTGCCCCCAAAGAGGAAAAAAAATGTAAGTCTCCTATTCATGATTTAGTCCCAGACAAGTAGAGAAAAATGAATGTATATTATTATATTAAATCTCTCCAGCACTACAAGGCATCACGGTACACGACCATCACAGCCTTCACAGTGACTGTCATGACTTTCTGGAAAACTGTCCTCTACTTCTTGATGTTCAGCGAGTTCTGTGCAGGGGACACTTATCGGAAGGGTAACACGGCCTTGGAAGAACTCCTTCTGGTTGTCATCCCCAATGGAATATGGATCGTAGTTCCTCTGGCCATCATGTTCTCATTGTGGACCAAGCTGATTCCAGAAATTCATGATTCCTTTGCTCAGAATGGTTGCCACATTAGCAAGCAAGCAGTGGGACCTTCAGAAAGTGTGAGGGAAGCCCAGAAGAAAATAAAATAGTGCTACATTAAACATTTTCTGTTAAAATAGTGCTATACAAGCATTTTCTGTTAGTAAAAGCAAATATATACTGAATGAATTGAACTTGTGAAATTCAAGATAATTCAATATAAAGATATTTCCAAAGAAGACAACCCGACTCAAAAAAGTTCCTCAAAATGACATTTAATTCATTCAATTACATTATAAAAAAAATGATTTCATTGCCAATAACAATGCATCAATTATTTTATACCCAGTCAATAGTAATATATTCCTGACTTAATGTATCCTATTGATCTCATATTTACTTGACAGATATTTTTGAAAAAACAATTTGTTGAAGTAAATGTCAGTAGATCCTACTTTTTTTGTTCTCATATCATTACTCAAATACTTAAGAATCAAGCCAATGAAATGAAATGTACAAAAAAACTTACTGTTTTGTTTGTCTAATTATGAGGCTCAAACAAACACCTTTTTTTTCTTCTACATGTTGGCCTCTAAATTTCAACCCTTATGTTTTATTATCCTAATTATCTACACTATTATTATTATTCAGTTTTTGTTTTGTCTTATATTAATGATATCATAGGATGGAGGATATAAAACAGACAAAACTGGACATTATTTACTTCCATTACACCGAACAAAATACTTATTGAAAGTCATACACTTGGCTCATAAACAAGGCAGCCCACTTCAGTTTTGTGCCAAAAATGTAGAATATTTTGAAAACTTTTAAAGTTTTATAGAATTGAAAGTTATATTTTCTATTACCGCATGTTAAAAATATAATGCCAGGAGCTGATTTGATAATGCTAAATTACTGTTGTTGAAAGTTATATTTTCTATTACCACATGTTAAAAATATAATGCCAGGAGCTGATTTGATAATGCTAAATTACTGTTGCTGAACAGTTGATTTAAAATTGTATAAAACTTATTAAAATTTGTTTTACTTGTGTGTTACAACTTTAATTTGTTGGATAGCATTATTAAACCATTCAATATAAGTTTCTAGTATTTGTAGAAACAGTTAAGTTGGTACTATTCAAAAACATAACTTGGTTAGTACGTTAAGCAACGTCCCTCATTGAAACCAAGTTAACTGCATTCTCCATTAATAGTACAACTTGAAAATTCATGTTTTTAGTTGCAGCAAATTTTTACTTTCATTGTTTATCATTTGCATTTATATATAATGACGTATTTTGTTTTTGATACTTTTGTTTATTAAACCAATGAAATTTATCATTGGGGTGAAATAAATAATTTGAATAAAATATACTTTTTGTTCTGTTATGTACTTTACAAAGGCAGTTAAATTTAATTCAAATTTTCTTTTGATATTCTGAATCACAAAGCCCTTGCTGTGGGAAAGAAGAGGAAACCATGTCTCATGCTTGAAACAGATTTTCGATTTGACGATTTGGAGGAACCTAAACCTTCTTGAATAGGAGCAAACACAGCTATTGAAGGAATTGTATTCAGGGTTTTACATGACAAAAGCTTCATTGCAAAATGACAAGATGGACTCCATTCCAGATTTGTTTATCACTGACCTGCAATTCTTTATGCTGCAAGTTGTAGTTATTAAATTAGAAATACAAGTAATTCTTTTGCAAAGAAAGTAAAGTTGAGAATTCTAACAAGTTTAGGGGATCATAATCTGATTAAATTGCATTTCTTTTAAACATGAAGTGGATGCAGCATTCCTGATGGAAAGCTTGACAATATTAATGTCATGAGTGTCATGTTAAATAAGTGTCAATAGTGTTCAAGTAACAGTAATCTTGTGATCTATGAGGGCAGATGATGTGAAACTCATCTGTTTCTATGGGTTTGAGTTTTTGGCATATTGGCACAATTTAGGCCATGTCCTGTTTCTATGGTGCCTACAAGGTAAACAAGGGTGTCATGTGGCCAGCACAATAACCAAACCACCTTAACTTACCATTTGTATGTTAGGTACCCATTTGAGATGAATAGAATCCTGAAAATCTAAAAAAATCCAGAAGTTTAAAACCCAGTCTTCAAGACCATTTGAAATAGACACCCCTCATTTTGGAAGCCAAGCTTTACCACATGGACATGTAACCTAATCTGTCATCACATATAAAACATCTAAAGGTGACACATGTCTGTTGCTAATGGTCAACATGGATGTCATGTGGCCAGCAATGACCAATACAATTTAATGCTCCTAAATAATTTGATTTTCCACTTGAGTAAAATCCTAAAATGGGGGAGGGGTAAAGCTTTGAAAGGCCCTAACACTGAAACTATATATATATATATATATATATATAAAAGAGATATAGACTGAAACTTAAGTAACCAAAATATGTTTATAATATAGGTATACAAAGTGACAACAGAATCTTGCTATTTATTGAAAAAGCACATATTACGAATAATCTATTTAAAATCTATGTCATTTTCTGTTTTCAAGCATCCACATGATACATTCATGCAATTAATAGTTCAACAAAATGTCATAAGCTTTATGACTGTGTTAAAAAGTCTGTTACAGTTCAAATTTTTCTCCAGTCTGTCTATTTCAAGTTGAATTGTTGATCCAATAGTTATTTTCTTCTGTATGTTCATATTAAAAGACACAAATGAAATAGACAACAAAAACGTGCACACATTTAAACTTAACATATTTACTATGCTCCTTAACACAAATATTTATATATAAAAAAAAAAAAAAAAGTAATATGTATATCAAAATAACCCATTCTGCTGTAAAATAAACAAAATAAAAACAAAATGAAAAAAACAAAATCAACGATTATATCTGTACGCCAATACTCCATTACATTAGACAAACAGAAAATTTTGAAGAAAAATAAAGTATTTTTATTATGATGTCAGTGTTTTGTTTTATTGGATTTTTTTTTTCAAAAGATATTATGCAATGGCATGGTTATCTATACTTATGTGTAAGAAATATTTGTACATTCTATTTGAGACAATAGCCACATTAAAATATTTTAAAATCTTGAATTTTTCAATAGATATATTCTACTATTTTAAAAGTAATTGAACAAAAAAAAGAACTATATAAAATATATCCAGCATCAGAATGTCCTTATACAAAAAAATAATTGCAGAGACATAAACATTTTAAATAGATGAGAAGAAATATTGAGAAAACAAAAAACATTATTTACAGACCATGCTTCAAAATATTAATTAGAACAAATAGATCTTATCCAGTTTATAATTGCAAGAGGAAAAAAAAAGAAATGAACATATCAAGTTGTTAATACAAATCTCTTCAGCAAATCACTTTACACACTGAGCCTTTCACTTGGACACACTTTTCAAAAGGAATATATTCTACAAAAAATGCTTCACAAAGTCTATAAGAACTGTATCACAAATTATAACAATTTTGGTTATTTTCAAGGAATGCATTTTTAAAAACATGCGACTGTTAAAAAAAAAAAAGTCTTTTATGAAATGTATGCGAGTTCCTTGATAGAAAAACCATAACTTCTGCTATATTTATTACTGAATGTTTTTGAGAGTATATCTGGAACTGCATGGCTCTTGAGTAGTTCTTAAGTACACTCAAGGTAGAAGCAAAATCTGTTACCAAATAAAAAAAAAAGGTATTTTTTAAGCACAAGGATAGATTATAATTACTTTTCCCTTACCACGTTGAACAATAGGCATTCTGGCAATCATTACTTTATTTAAAAAAATAGTGTTGCTATTTTAAATAAAGAGGAAATCTATGACATCAAGAAAAAGAAAATTGGAAAAAAAAGTCAAATGTGTCTAAATTTTAAAAGCTGTCCAAGTTTAATTGGAGAAAATGCAACCATCTTATTAATTGTTACTTAAAAACAAATTGCTTTTGTCTAGGGCATAAAGCTATAGCATGATCAGTGTGAACTGGACCAATCTATTTTGCATGCATGGTAGTATCTGGGAGAAGGTTTCTGATTTTCCCTTAGGAGCTCAGTAAACACAACTATACGCAAGTTAGGATTTGAACTCAAGCCCCCTAGATTAGTTGCCAACCGGATTGTGCCACTAAGCCATAAATATTAATGAAGCTTTTCCTTAATTATTGAATACTGTTAGAAGCATTAATAGAATTTACAATTAAAAAACTTATCAGGCTATTACTAACCAAATATCGAATTTAATTTACCTTTTAAATGTTAGAATTAACTACCACTCCCTTCTCCTAATAAGGACGAATATATCTTCCAAAATTATTGTTTTATTTAATAGGTGTTGTTAAACTGTAGTGTAAAAAAAAAAAAAAAGTAAAGTCTCTATGGCAGATGACTTAAAGATCATCTGTTATCATTCTAAATTGTTATGTTCAAACCGAAAATTTAAAACCATTTTTAGGAGTAATAGTAATAATTACTATTGTACTATGCTAACACAACATTGTTTTCTAAAGGTCTATACAAATACATAACATGCTACTGTGGGATGTAAATCTGAGAGGCCAAAGCCGTTTGGCTAGGGCTTGGCTATCTAACAAGGGGGCTTGAGTTCAAAGCCAGATTCAAGCAGAGTAGTGTTTGCTGATCGCCTAAAGGCAGCATAATACTTCCCAGATTACCCCTCAGCCCACTAATCTTCATGAGAGATGGACCATTGCAGTAGAGCATGATATAAACATGGGGATAAAGTATGTAACAGAAATTAATTTACATATCCAACAGAAAATGAAAACAAGCAGACGTAAAGACAACCTGACATTTACATAATGTTTGTCACAGATGACATGTCCACCATGAAGAGAAAGGCACTTACTTTGATAAACAATAAAAACTTTGCAGACTACACTAAGATGAACATTTTATCAATTGACATTTAAGAGATGAACAAGTAGAAATTTCACAGAGTTAATGCCCTTTAAATAGGGAGAAGTAACACATGATATAAACAAGGAAGGTGGCTACATATTAACTACAAGATTAAATCCTCCATTGCTCAAGTAGAAAATACAAGTCAAAATATTTATGAATCAATACACTTTATTAAAAACAAAAAAAATACAAGTTTCTCTTTTTTGTTTTTTACTTGAACCCAACAGTCTCGGTAAAAAACAAATAATTCTGTACATGTTTAAAACCATAGCTCTGTACCTCTAGACCAGACCAGGCCAGTCTTTATTAGAGGACATAATCCCAGTCTCTTTAATGACGGAGTAAGCATTTAAAAAAAAAAAGAGACAAATATTCAGCTTTGATGTTGGTGCTGAGCTCAAGATTTGTGTTGAGTTTTGTGCCATCAAAGTAATAGCAGTGTCAGATGTACTTGGTGTTGAGACAATATTGGACTTTTTGAAGGTGGGACAGCCCAAAAGATTCAGATTGGTGGGAAAAGCATCTGCAGTGTGGGTATGGAGTTAAATCTGAAACAAAAATCTTTATAAAAATAGTGCCGTCACAACCCAAAGCTATTGTGATTCTTTAGCTTTGTAAAACTTTTTTTTTGAGAACTATGGTATAACTTAGATATCGGTTAGTTAGAAGAAATAAAATCTAGGAATCATTTTATCACCTGATTATATGTTACTGACAGGTTACTCGCTATGACTGACAAAGTCATCACATAGTCAATACATACATGCTGCAAGCACACATACACATCCACACTACCAGTTTGTATCAAATGAATCACTTTGTTGAAAACAATGAACACAATAGAAAAGCTCGAAACAAAATGGTAAAATCTGTCAGCAACAATGTAAAAAATAAGAAGAAGAGTTCAGCCTCAGGGGACATAATCAACTGTACAACAATCATCAATTTCCCTGTTATGATTTCATTTTTCTTTCAAACTATTTAGGGACAAGGAAATTTTAAATCTTATTTAATTTTTTTAAATTGCTTTGAAATAGCATTTTGTTCATGCTTATAGTAAACTCAGTGTGCTATGATACATATTTTTTTCTGGACATTTCCTAAGAGAAAGTTTCTGTGCGGTCTTTAGGTGCTTAGTAAACACAATTCTGCTCGAGTCGGGATTGGAATCCAAGCCTCCTTGATAAGTAGTCAAATGGCTTTGGCTACAATGCTCACAAATTTCACTTAAATGGACTTTAAATTCCATTACTTGGAAGGGAGGAAATAGCATTGACTCATATCCTGTTGATGTTCCACAAACATTTTTTCTTTAAAGACAGCCTTATCTGGATATCAGATGCACTTTTAAAAGGACTGGAGAGAGGGTTATATTGGGTTGGGTAATGCTGCTTTAATGTTGATAAAATTTGCTAATAAATATAAAAATCTGAACTTATAAC